TCTCAGGATAATGGTATGGACCAGATCTTCAACAGGATTATAGAAGAGAATTTCCTAAAATTAAGGAAAGACATCCCCATACAAACAAAAGAAGCACATAAAACAGCAAATAGAACCAGAAAAGAAACTCTCCATGGCACATCATAGTAAAAACACTAAGTGTTCAGAACAAAGAGAGAGCACTGAAAGCTGCAAAACAAATACAAGTCACATATAAAGGAAAACTACTACTCAGAATTACAGCTGACTTCTCAGTGCAAACTATGGAAGCCAGAAGAGCCTGGTTCAAGGTATTCCCAATTCTAAATGACCATAGATGCCAACCCAAATTATTTTACCCAGCCAAAATGTCTATTATACTTGAAGGGGAAAGAAAAATCTTCCATGATATAAATAGGCTGAAAGAATCCATATCCACAAAACTAGCCATTTAGAGAGTTCTTGAAGCAATACAAAGAGCTGAAGAAAGTAACAACTATACCCGAAGGGTAACAAACAGAAACTTAATGAAGGTATAATTGGAAACACACAGCTACACCAAGAATGCAAACAGAAATCAAAACAACAGGAATCAATGCACATATTTCATTAATAATTTTAAATATTAATGGGCTGAACTCTCCAGTCAAAAGACACAGACTGGTTGAATAGATTAAGAAACAAAACCCATCTTTTTGTTGTCTGCAAGAAACCCATCTCACTTTCAAGGAAAGGCATTACGTTCAGGTGAAAGGATAGAAAAATATATTCCAATCAAAGGGTACTAAAAAAAGCAGGAGCTGAAATTCTAATATCTGAAAAAAATAGACTTCAAAGTAACAGTAATCAAAAGACATAAAGAGGGCCACCTTATTCTGATCAAAGGAACAATTGACCAAGAAAATATTACAGTCATCAACATATATTCACCAAACTCTGGTGCATCCAACTTCATAAAAACAGTACTATAGGACTTTAAGAATCAGATTAATCCCAGCTCAATAATAGTAGAATCCAATACCTCATTGTTTCCATTAGATAGTTCAAAAGGACAGAGAATCAACTAAGAGAGATCTAAATTAAACAATACCATACATAAAATGGACTAACAGACATCTACCGAATATTCCACCCCAAAAAGAAAGAATATACTTTCTACTCAGCACCCCATGGAATGTTCTTCAAAACTGACCACATGCTGGGGCACAAAACAAACCTCAACAAATACAAAAAGATTGAAATAGTTCCATGCATTCTATCAGATCACAATGCAATAAAGCTTAATCAATACCAGAAGAAACCCTAGTAACTACATGAACACATGGAGATTAAGCAACACACTCCTGAGAAATTAAGAAAAGAAATTAAGAAAAGCCGTGATGAATGGGTCAAAGGAGAAATTAAGA